AGATGATGACAACGACAACGGCACGGCCAATGACGGCGCCGATGCAAATGACACCGACGACGATGACGGCGTCCTCGCGTCGGTGATGTAGGCTTTGGAAGGAGTTCGACATGCGCGCGCGGACGACGCGTGAGAGTGGCCAACAGGGTACTCTTTGACACGGATCGTACCCCCCAGCACGCGCGCAAGGGCGTTCGAATAATTTCGGCATGCGGCGCGAAAAGCACGTTTGGCAGAATTGAATGAACAATGTTGAAAGACCGATGGACAAGACCATCTTTAAACATTTTAGGAACTCGCAAGACCGCGAGCGCAGGTGTCAGTGTTATTGCAAAACCTTTGTCTTTTTGTATGTCTTCGGGACACTCGATCTTGAAATGCGTACGAACCACAAGTGTTCGCGAGATTCAGGCATGCGCGCACGAAACGCGCGCGTGCACGTCGCCCCATAGTTTGCAAAGGATTTGTGCGACAATACGCGCGCAAGGGTGTTCTTGCGATTCCGACATGCGCGCACGAGAGGCCCATTTGGTAGCATGTTGTGAACATGTGTGTACAAATATTAGGAATACGGTTTTCTTACGAACTCGCTAGGAGGGCGGGCGCCGGCGTTATGAAAATGCGTGTTGCGAAACAATGTGTGTTATACGTTTACGGACATTCGATTACGACACCTCAGGTGTTGGAAATATTGAGGCACGCGCGCGCGACAACGCGCGCGTTCACGCTCCGTCCCATTTGTTGCAAGGGGATGTGATGAGCGAAAAGCGCGTGCATTGCATTTTCTGCAGAAGGTGAGGGGGATACCGGTTAGGCTGTGATGACACTGATTCATATTTGGGATGGGCAATGGGGCAGAATCGAATGTAGATCGCAGAACGAAAATGGGAGAACGTTAATTCTGGGGGGGAAAGGGGTGAACAGAGACTAGATGCGGTGTGGGTAACATGATGCAAGCGACCTCGTGCAATCTACGTGGTACGCCACGTGGTGCAAAATACGCGTTTCAATATATGTTGCCCATGTCGCCCTCCCGAACTGAAGTTGTCGCGCAATCATCCCACCCACCCACCCGCAACTTGTTTTCCAAAACCCATGCGGCGGCGGGCTAGCACATCGCTGTGGCCGCGCGAACACGCGCAGGCTCGCGCGCGCGGGGCGACCAGCTAACCTGGCGCGACCGACGCGGCCGCGATGGCGTGGACCGTTGGGGGGTTCCCACCGCCTCTAACAGGCCTCGCTGACGCGCAAGCAGTTCGGTGCGAGAGGGTGACTCGGGCGGGCGGGTATCAAGTATCATGGCGACGTCGACAACGGCTGACACGACGATGACAGTAGCGATGCTAGTGACAACGCCGACAATGACGACGGCACGGCCAATGACGGCGCCGATGCTGATCACGCCGATGACGATGATGGTGTCCACGTGTCGGTGATGAAGGTTTTGGAAGGCTTTCCACATCCGCGCGATGCCGACGGGCGCGAGTGGCCCGCAAGGTGTTATTTGACAGGGATCGTCCCCCCACCACACCCAACATGCGCGCGAGGGCCGCTCGAATGGTTGCGACATGCACGCGCGAAAGGCCCGCTCAATGAAAACGTTGGTTGTTTTCAAAGGCATTCGCAATGCGCGCAGACTTTTCTGAACAATCATGTGTCAAAAAACCATTAGTTGTTCATTCGCTGTCGGGACACTCGAGTTTGAAAGCCTTACGCCATACACAGTTGCTGACGGAGTTCAGCATGCGCGCGCCTTTTTCGCGTTTGCAAAAGACCTTTGCAATTCATGAGTTGTGATAAACGACAGCGCGCATAAGTACATTTGGCGAAAATGAGGGGGGTCGAACCCAGCCTTGCTGGGATGATATGAATTCGTGTTCAAAGTGAACGAGGGGGCTGCATCACATGGAAATTGCACTTGCCCACGGGGCCCGAGAAGCCAGAAGGGGAGGGTGGTAAATACGATGTTTTCAAGAAAAGAAAACAGATGTTATGCAATCTATGTGGTGCAATTTTCTACACATCCATATGTGGTGCACTATATATATATATATATATGTATGGTGTTACAAATATGGTGCAAGATATGTGGTGCAATGGATGCGATGAAAACTCGGTGGTGCAGTATAGATGGTGCAATGCATGTGTTGCAACCTATGCGGCGCAATCCACGTAGTGTAATTCGCCGGCCCAACGGGCCAGGGCGTGCTAAGATCTCCGGTACCTGGTTAACAGTATTTCTAGTTCGCGCGCGCGGGGCGGACCCTGGGGGTCCCCGGACGAAAAGTACCCCGGCAAGGTCCCGGCAAGTCCCCGGCAAGGTCGGGCCAGAGATGCCGGAGTTCTGTTACAGGGCCCCAGGACGGGCCAAGAGGTCCCCAAGAAGCCTCCAAGACGGTCCAAGAGGGCCCCGAGACGGCCAAAGATCGCCCGAAGACGCCCAACAGGGCCCCAAGACAGCCCAAGAGGCCTCCAAGACGCCCCAAGGGCCTTCCAAGAGGCCTCCGAAGAGGGCCCCAAGAGGCCAAAATCGTTGATTTTCATTGTTTTTTCTATGTTTTTTGCGTTCTGGCTTTTTCGGCTTCCGGACGCTCCAAGACGGCCCAAGAGGCCCCCAAGACCGCTCCAAGACGGCCCACGAGGCTCCCAAGACGGCCCCGGAACGGCCCAGGAGGGCCCCCAAGACGGCCCAAGTGCCGCCCAAGACGGACCAAGAGGCCCCAAGACGGGCCCAAGAGGGGCTGAAGAGGGGAACCGAGAACTGAAAAATCGAGCCCTCCGCCCCAGAAGGCGCCCAGGAGGCCCCAAAAAGGCCCCAAGAGGCCCCCAAGAGGCCCCCAAGACGCCCCAAGAGGCGCCCAAGATGCCCAAAAGAGGCCCCAAGAGGCCCCAAAACGGCCCCCAAGAGGCCCCAAAACTCGGCTAGCCCACAACGGTGCGACAATATGGGCCGGCGGAATGAGCGAAGCGATTAATTTATGTGGTGCAAGCTACGTGGTGCAATGCATATGGCGAAATGCAAAGTAACACAAAACACCGCAACCCAATTGCAACGCAATGCAACTCAATTGCAACGCCATGCCATTGCAATGCAGCGGGGGGGGGCAACGGGGCGGCGGCGACGGTCGGCGGAGGGGCGGCCAGACCGACCACGAGGCCCAGGCGACGGGCGACGACGAGGCGGCGAAGGGCGACTACATGCTGGCCAGACCGACAACCAGGCCCAGTTCCTTAGAACAGAAATAAGAAATCCTGAGTGCAAGCACTGCTTGGGAAGATTTGGGGCCCGGGGATACACGATGGGGACGTCCAGTCGATCCTCGATAGGAATGCGTTCGAATAGCCCCCTGGAGTGTCCCCGACGTCCCCTCCTTCTTTGAATGGCCCGATTGTTCTAGGCAAGTCGGGGATTTAGGGGCGAGAAATCGCCAGCGAGAGAATCCAGCTGTGGCGCTGAAGATTCGCCAGGCCGAACAGCGGCAACTATCGGTAGCTTGTCCTCCTCTGACGTGAAGGGCCTCGCGCCGTGCTTCTCCCATCACGCGACCTGGCTTGGGTGGGTGGCCCCTCTTCCCGGCGCCAGCCCGCACGGATCCCGGGGCAACACCCCAGGACCAACTTCTCATCCTGAGCCGTTCTCTGACGGCCACGGAGCACATGCACGGCGGCGAAACTTGTTTGTCGCAGCGGCGAGTCCTCACCGCGTTCGGAAGCAGCCGTGAGGTGCAACGAGGCCGAATTGGTCACAGCAGGCGACGGGGAGAAAAGGCGCGCAGAAGGAGGGAGGAGCACGTTCGGAACACCAGCGGCGCAACACCTCGGGGCCAGTTGGCACTGAGGACCCGCTGGCTTCGTGGCGAAGGTCGGGTCGGGGCCTGGCGGCTCATCCTCCGCGGCGACAGCCCGCACGGATCCGCTCCGACAGGGAGCCGTGGTTCACACCGATCCTCATGGCGGCGCCGCGCTCCTGGGGGCGTCGCGGCCGCCTCCATCGCCGCCGCCGCCTCCCCTCCTCGGCGTCGTCCGTCCTCCGTTCATCGTCCGCCGCACGCCCGTCGCCCGCCGCACGCCCGTCGACCGTCATGTGTCGCCGTCTGTCGTCGGTCGACTGTCGTCGTGGCGGTGGTGGTGGTAGTGGCGGCGGTGGTGGTGGTGGTGGCGGCGGTGGTGGTGGTGGTGGCGGCGGCGGCGGCGGCGGTGGTGGTGGTGGTGGCGGCGGTGGTGGTGGTGGCGGCGGTGGTTGGTGGTGGTGGTGTGGGTGGCGGCGGCGGTGGTGGTGGTGGTGGTGGGATGGTGGTGGCGGCGTGGTGGTGGATAGAGGCGGTGGTGTGGTGGTGGCGGCGGTGGTGGTGGTGGTGGTGGCGGCGGCGGCGGTGGTGGTGGTGGGGGCGGCGGTGGTGGTGGCGGCGGCGGCGGTGGTGGTGGTGGTGGTGGCGGCGGTGGTGGTGGTGGCGGCGGCGGCGGTGGTGGTGGTGGTCGGTGTCGTGGTGGTGGTGGTGGTGGTGGTGGTGGTGGTGGTGGTGGTGGTGGTGGTGGTGGTGGTGGAGGTAGTGGTGGTGGTGGTGGTCGTTGTCGTTGTGGTGGTGGTGGCGGTAGTTGTCGTGGTCCGTCGCACGTCGTGCGACGTCGTCCGTCGTACGACCTCCGTGGTACATTCTCCGTCGTCGTCGGCGTGCGTCATCGCGGTGGTGCTGGTCGTGGTCGTCCGCCATTGCTCCTCCTCCCCGTTCCTCCCACGGAGACCCCAGGGACCTCAGGGGCCTCTGGAGGCATCAGGGGAACTCTATGGCCTCCAGCACCGTGGAGAGCTCGGGACGACAGCTTGGCTCCAACTTTAGCAAGCCTGGCCCCGGCCCCGGGGCCGTCGGGAGACGACCCAGGATGCAAGGCTGGTCCCAGGGAAGGGGTCGACACTTGGACCAACTTGGGTGCCGCATGGGGCCGCCTTGGGCCGATCTTGTTTCCGGCCCTCGAGCTCAGAGCAGGGACGGAGGGGCGAAGCCTGTCGGGCACTACTTTTGTTTGCCAGCGCGAGAGGTCGCCCCGTGGTTTAGGAGGAGGAGAGCAGCATAGGAGTAGAGAACAGCAGCAAAGGCAAGCAGTGCAGGATGGCCCGCCTTTGCTGATCGCTGACTGGCCCGCCCGAGGCGCGCTACGGCAACGGGCGGCCGCGCCAGCAGGCCGCAGGGAAGCACGCTGAGCTGGCTCAGCCCTTCGATGCAGCGATGAGCGAGACGGCCACCACCTGCACCACTATGACGAGTGCCAGCACGGAGAGGTTGTGCCTCCCCCGGTTCTCTCCGAACAGCACCACGCCCCACAAGGCAGCAATGATGCCTGGCACCCCCACGATGATGGGGAACGCGACAACGTACGAGAGCACGCCGTTGGCCCTGAACCAGGCAACCTGGGCGATGCCCCACAAGGCCCCAGACAAGATCCCAGGCAGGACCATCTCGCGGCCTGTATGGACGTGCCCTCTGGCGGCAGCGACGGCGAAGGCGGCGGCCGTGGTGGCAAAGATCCCGCTGAAGTGGGAAAAGACATAGTCGGTGGCGTCTGGCGAGTGGCGCGGTGTCAGCCCAGCGTCCGTGTCCCGCTGACCGATCTGCTGCAGGTACGTCGGCGGATTGAAGTTAGATCCAAAGAATGCGCCGCACACGAGAGCGACGGCGAAGCCCTTCGCAAACCCTCTGGCAGAGGGGCTGGACGTGGTGTTGACAAGGCCCTCCTGTGAAGCTTCGCTGGACGTTCCCTTAATCAGCTTGAACAGGCCCAATGACATTATGGCCATGGCCACACCAGCGTAATTCAGACTGGCATGGGCGACATGGTCCTTATCCTTCCCGAATAGCCCGAAAGCTCCCGAGGCCCAGCCCGTTAGCATGTTTGTCACGCTCCACACCAACTGTCCTATCCCGAGGCCGCAATGATGGATGATGAATGGCACGCACAAGTTGCCGATGGCCCACAACATGCCGCCCAGCATAGCAAAAGGCTCGAAAGCATACAATCCCGATATCATCCACTGCAAAACACCAATGCACCAGACGCCGAAGGAAAGGCACAGCGTGAAAAACATCCCGTCTTTCACGTCGACCCTCTTCACGAACAGGTAGTTGCTGCCGAAGCCCAAGCATGATATGAGGCAACACAAATAACCGATTGTCGTGTCATGGGCTCCCGCCATCCTTACCGCAGAACCCCACTTCAGCAACACACTCTGGCTATCGACTTTGACCGTTGTGGACAGAAACGCAAGGCTGGGCAGATGACGTCTGCTCCGCTCCACCTGCCTCGAGCCAAAATCGCTACGGAAGGCCCTCTTGGCACGCATTCAGGGCACCTTGGAGCCTGCGGGGGGTCCGACAGGCACCTCGGAAGCCTCCGGGATAAGTGGGGGGGCGGTCGGGGTGCCACCAAGGGGCCCCAGCTGGCGCCATGCGCGGGGCCGCGGCGGCGTCGCCGGCGGCGGCGCCAGCGCATCGTCGCCATGGCAGCCGTCTCCGCGACGACGGTCACGACGACGACGACGACGACGACGACGACGACAAGAGGTAGCCGTGCTGGTATCAGTCTTACCTTGTGCACAGAACGGAACGCAAATAGTGTTCTCCTCCTCTCCTCGCTCCCCTCGGCGCCCGCGGTGGGCATTTGTTTCGCAGCGCTCGACCACAACAACAACAACAACAACAACAACAACAACAACAACAACAACAACAACAGCAACAACAACCATTGTTAGACTGCTCGCTCTTATCTGCTCGCGTGACACTCAAAATTTATATCCCGAACCCTCGATACCGACCCTCGTCGTCTTCGATCGTACCTCCCTTGGGGGTATATATTCCTTGCCTGCCACGTGTAGTTGGCGCAGCCACTGAAAAAGGGAAGGGAGGGAGAAGAGAAGGGACAAGGGGGAGGGAGAAGGATGGAGGGAGACGAAGATTGGCAGGAAGGGTGTTAGGAGAAGAAAAACAAGCAGCAGAACTAAACGGGCGGGTCGGGCGGACGGACCCTGACGAGCGGGTCGGGCGGGCAGGCCCAGACGGCCTGGTCAAGCGGGCGGGTCGCTGAAGCATCAGTCCTGCATGGATCGCGAGGAAGCCTCGAGCAACAGCGCGATTCCCAAGTAAACTGTGAGGAAATCCAACGCAAGAGCGTTATTCCTGACTGTCGAGTGCGCGGCCTTTGAATAAATTGCGAAAAAGTCCCACGCGAGAGGGTGATTTCTGGATTCATTGCGAGGACGTTTCGCGCAAGAGAGGGATTCTACCGTTCGCCGACCCAGACCTCAGGAACGGCCAGACAACCCTCACCCCCCCTGGGCCCAAAGCTTTGTGGCAACTCACGGGAGCCTCCCATACCACCTTGTCGGCTCTTGCGAACCGACGCTAGTCGACGCTAAATCGACGCTAACCAACGATGAATCGACGCGTATCGACTCTAACCGACGCTGAGTCGGCGCTATCTCATCGACTCCCATACGCTAATCGACGCTCATCGACGCTAGAGCCGGAACTGAAAGGATACACCAGGCTACTATGACTTGCTACCGAACCAAAGTAGTCCTTACGTCAGCGCCCTGACTGCAGCCTCCTCCTCGGGGCCCGCCGGGGCGAGGCGGGCGGCCACCGCAAGCGAGCCTCGGCCCAAGGGGCCGCCCTTCGGCAGCGCGGGGCGGGGGCCGAGCGGCGGGTCTCCTTCAGCTTCAGGACCAGCGGGGCGAACGACTCCTCGATGGCATCCTGGGCCTTCCGGGGGGGGGGGGGGGTACGGGGCAGGGAGCAACGCCGCACAGGTCCCTGGATGTTGTCTTGGCTTGTCGCTGCCCGGGGGGGGGCGGGCAACTGCAACGCTTGGGCAGGGTGGGGCACGTCCGAGCGGGGGTGCGCTGCGATCGCCGTGGTATGCGCGCGAGCACCAGCATGAGGGGGGTCTAGGCACCCCTTTACGTACGATCGATACCGTTACCCAAGGAGGGTTGAAGCAGGGAGCTACCGTTACGTGCAATATACAAATAGCTATACATATATGATGCAGGCATACATACATACATACATACATAGAAACACCTATACATCGATACATGCATACATACATACATACATGCATGCATACATACATACATACACACATACATATATGCATGCATACCTACATACATGCATACAGACATGCATAGCATGCAAGCATACGTGCATACATACACCTATACATATACATATACATATACATATACATATACATATACATATACATATACATATACATATACATATACGTATACATATGCATATGCATGTACATATACATATACGTATAAATAAAAAATACACGTAAGTGCATACACATACATATACATATACACGTACATACACATGTCTAAATACATATGCATATGCATATACAAATGCATCTGCATATGCATACATATATGCATAGACACATACATATACATATACATATACATATACATATACATATACATACACATATACATATACATATGCATATGCATATACATATACATGTACATGTATATATACATTTGCACACACATGTACAAATACACATACATATGCATATGCATATGCATATGCATATACATATACATATACAAATACATATACGTATACCTACACATAAACATAAACATACATATACACATGTACACATACATAGACATGTACATATACATATGCATAAACATATACATATGCATACACCTATACATATACATATATATACATATGCATACACATATACATATACATATACATATGCATCTACATATACATATTCATATGCATGTACATATACATATACATATACACATATGTATGCAAAAAAATATCCGCCGGCCCCCTTGTGGGGCCACCAGGCTGTAGGCGCGTGATTCGCAGTTTCCTGTACCAGTTGTAGTTTCTAGTTTCCAGTGTTACAGTTCTGCTTCTTGCTGGTTACTGTAACTACTTGACTTCTTGCTGGTTACTGTAACTAGTTGATTGACCGCGCGAGGGGGGGGGAGGCCCAAACAGGATTTTCCAGCGTCCCCTGGGCGCGTTGTCTGAATTGCTGGGGGGGCTCGAAATCGACACCCCTCACGCAGATCCGCGGGGTCAGGGTCCAAAAACACATGGGATTTGCCACATTTCTGAAATTCGGTGCCACCCCTCACGCAGATCCGCGGGGTCAGGGTCCAAAAACACATGGGATTTGCCACATTTCTGAAATTCGGTGCCACCCCTCACGCAGATCCGCGGGGTCAGGGTCCAAAAACACAAGGGATTTGCCACATTTCTGAAATTCGGTGCCACCCCTCACGCAGATCCGCGGGGTCAGGGTCCAAAAACACAAGGGATTTGCCACATTTCTGAAATTCGGTGCCACCCCTCACGCAGATCCGCGGGGTCAGGGTCCAAAAACACATGGGATTTGCCACATTTCTGAAATTCGGTGCCACCCCTCACGCAGATCCGCGGGGTCAGGGTCCAAAAACACAAGGGATTTGCCACATTTCTGAAATTCGGTGCCACCCCTCACGCAGATCCGCGGGGTCAGGGTCCAAAAACACAGGGGATTTGCCACATTTCTGAAATTCGAACCCATCACGCACATCCATCGCAAGGCGTGGTAACCCAAACTGCGAGAACTCCCTCGGCCCTTTCATCGCAAGGTGTGGTAACCAAGCCCTTAAACCATACACGTCTTACCAATCGCCAGGTGTGGTAACCCCTCTTGTGATCAGTTGGTTTTGCTGATTGCGACTCGGCTTCGCATGAAGTTTCGATACTGCTTCACGACAGCGCCAAGGCCTCATGACTTAGCTCTTCCATGGCCCATTCTCCGAGAGAGGGGGGGCCGACGGCAGGGGGCGAAGCCCTTACGGATAAACATATACATATACAGATATATACATATACATATACACATACACATACACATGCATAGATTTACTTACATATATACATATGAATAAACAAATGTGCATGTGTATGTGGTTTGCTACTGCTTTATAGGTAAGCTAAAAACTCATATCCCCATTGGCGTGGTGTTGGCTAAACTAGCTGAACATGTTGCTCCCATCGTTGTTTGCGGAGCCTATCCCCACTTGGTGGGGTGTGCTGGTGGGGCTGAGATATCATGGTCCCAGTGGGAATGGGAATCGATGAAGCGATGCTGCTGAAGAAAAGCGACAGCACCACAACCAGCGCGAGGCGCCACGGAGGGTCCCCTCTGGTGTTGTGGATTTCTTCTCGCTCGAAACATCCCCCATCCCCAGCTCGGGGAGACCCCCCACGCTGAAGGTGGTCCCCCTGGTGGCAGTGGTGGCGCTTCTCTGTACTCTGACGGGCGAGGCACGTGCGGACGGGAGGGCGACGCACATGCCCTGACATCCCCGCGTCGAAAGACACACATCACGACGGACCATTTTCTGTCGTTTTCGGGCCCTGGGAACCCTTGCCAGATCCCGGGGCCGTAAAAAACTGTTCGGGACGACACGCCGGTCCCCAGCATTGTGAACAAAATCGCATCGTCGGATGTCTTGGTAACTACCCATCGCCATGCCCTCGCGGACTGGACACCGAGATGCGATCCAATGGCAACGCGATCCCACGAGCACACTCTGCGCAGGGCACCCGCGCAGAACCGCCGCGTACCCCAGGGGGGTCCGACCGACGGGCTTAAACCGCGAGGCCATGGACATGGATCTGTCGCCCGTCTCCCGTCAACGAAGAGGAGGCGGGTTCACTCCAGAAGAACGCAACAACCTCGACGCTCATGTATGGGCAACGTCGAAAAGGTTACTCCATGCACCTCCAGAGACTTCCATCAGGGCTCCGTATACGGGGACTCTTGGCGAATCGAAACACTGCCCGAAAAAAACTACAACGCCGCGAGCGACCGCCTCTGGAGCGGGGGCAAGGACCAGTCGGGGAGACTGTGCGTGACCCTGCTGCGGCGGGGAATCCTCCGGCACGTCCTTGGCTGCTGCCGCTGCATCAGCTGCTGATGGCATGCCTAATGCAAGACGTGGCAGCACTGCAAGAGTACCAACCTCTCGCCATGGTGGAAGGCCTGGAGGCAGATGGGACACCCTTATCATCGCCGATGAAAGCAGCAACTGAGGGGGGCTTGGCAGTTGGTATTGCTGGCACACCAGACGGATTAGTAAGGGTTTCTGTCCAACTCTGCGCGGTCCGCCGTCGCTGCTCGTCCTGCTGCCGCATGCGCTCGAGTGCTCGCTATGTTCTGTAGAGCTCGTCGAAGTGTCGTCGTTGCGCGCGGTCGAGGGCGGCGTGCACGTCGCGCTCGGATCGGCCGCCGCTGGACATCCCGGTCTCGCGGCTGACGAACCGCATGGCCCCCCCCAGACGTCTGGGCCAAGTCGACGGGGCAGTTCCGATTGAACAGAGCGATCTCCCGAGGAAGATTTCGGCTGACAGCGACGCGACTACCAGCGCGGACTGCGGCGGCCAAGTGGAGCTCGGCCCACATGGCGCGCCGATATCGAGGGCCGAGAATGACGGCGCGAATGCCCAGATCGG